CGATACATATGAGTGAGAAAAACAAACAAAAAACTTCGGGAATCAGACAGCAGGAAATGGAGTTATAGGGAAAATACTTCAAAAATATAATTGTACAATAAAAATACGATTCGCTCATATACATTACAATATACAAAATATCTTCAAAATTTTCACCAAAATCGACAAACGTTATACCAACTCTTCTTACATTACCTATAGAACTCGTCTAGCAAGTTCTTGAGAAGTGTTTGTATGCGTATGAATCCAATCCTCAACAGCTACCATCGATATTAGATATAACACTATTCTATTTGAAAATTTAATTTTCATTATCTTCAAAACATAATTCATTTTCTTAACATGTAAATCTATATATTATTATCTTTTCGTTGTAAATCAGCTTAAACAGCATACACACACCTCTATTCACGTTGAAAAAACATAGAGAAGAAGTGAAAATTTGTCTTAAGCGCGAGATCATAACTGACTCTTAGAATCACAGCAAGTAGTTTCCATGTTTCTATATCAAACATTAACGAAAACCAGCTTGAAACTCATGATATCACAAAAACATATTCAATACAATTTACATACATTAAAAGAATCTATATACACATGTTGATATTTTGAAATGTTCCTTCCTTTAAAAAGAAACTATTCTAATGCTCATGAATCAAATTAAACATTTCTCAACGATAGCAATGTCTTCAGTTTATAGTTCACGTTTTGATATCCATTGGGTAGCTTTCCATCATTCCAATTTTATTATTGTTACGCATAGGCAACAACTACATTATAACGCAAAGGCTTCAAAATCAATGATCGATTGGCAAAACTTCTTGCAAATGCTCTTCAACATAATCGAGTCATATCAAAGCGTTCTCATTCTATAATTTCTTCATCTTTGAAACAGACACTCATTAAACTCAACCTTAGTAGCAATAAAATTAGTGATAACCGAGTACAACATCTTGCCTATGTTGTGGAGCAGCAGTGAACCGGTGTTTATAATTGTTTTGCTTAACTCAACTTCTTTTAATTTAGTGCTGACTACGCTAGGCTTGATCTTCGCTATTTTTCTATCGCTAGCTAACGTAATGCATGACTAATGTATCGGCAATGAACATGCAATTCAATTCATGTATACGAATGCTGAAAAATATAACGTAAAATCCGAAAAGAATTCAGCTATGGATCATTTTCATGTGATTGCTTCATTCGTCTACATTAAACAATAATGATTACTTGCTACAATGTGCATTCCTAGAGTCGGAATAGCATTTATTGTATGAACGAAAAATAACTTTCTATTACATATCGTGACAGGAAATGTAATGTAGAGGGTATAGAATGATTTTCCAATTGATAGAAAGCTTGACTGTTGAAGTAAATGCATTTTGTGTTCTTCGTTCAGACACTAAATTGACATTCACAAACAAAAAACTCACTATACAATGTTGTATAAATAATCTTGGTGAAGATATTATAATGATCTTATAAATGTAATGGAAAATTTCGAAGGTTTGTCATTTACTGTTAGTAAGCGAGAAAAGATGACACTATTATTCTTTTTATCTCTTGACTTGCGTATGATTCATGTTATAATATTAGTATAATACCAACACTAAAAAAAAAATATATCTTGTGAAGTGAAGATTTTGATATTTTTCCTTTCGGCTTTTCTACAGCACATCATGGAAGATAGACAATATGATAGATAAATGAATTTTGTGCTTGATTAAAAATAAAACTAAATAAAAGATCATGATATTATCATTTTGAGATATGTTATTGTCGATTTCATTTATTATTTGAACATAGAAGATTTATCTCCTGTTAATTTTTTTCTGATACATAGATATTTTTTATGAATTATATGAAAAATAAATAATATAATTCGTAGTTTCAAGTCATTTTAGATATTTTATTCAAAAATATGTATACGTTTGCTTTTCAAAATGAGATAATATATAGACCATTTTAGACAAAGCAGAACATATTCACCTTTCATTTATCTTTGATTCTGTACAAGAATAAAAATGTTAGGTATTTCAGGTGACTATTAATTAAAATTAATTGAAAAAATAGTTGGCGAATATCTCTCTAACGATAAGAGACAAAAGTAAACTTCCTCTTAAAAACCCAGCTTTCAAGAGATCCTATCAAGGTCAGAAACAAAAAAATTTTCATCTCATTATCATTTAGATATTCGGAAAATATTTATACTCTATCGCGTTGCTAACGAAAAAGAAATTGACTTTTTTTTTTTTTTTAAATCTAAACATGCGGAAGAAAAAAACTTTGCGATAGAGATTTTGTAGCCTCAGGAGTTGTCTATAGAACATACTATTGAATCTCAATAGAGCTGTCTCAATTCAGAGTTTTTCATAAAATTCAACTTCATGAAGTGAAAGTCAATGTCATGTTTTGTGTTATGTCACTATCATTACTATTTTACTGATATAAGACCTCGTAACAAAGATCTCTAGAGTAATTTAACATATATGTAACATGTAAAAACTAGCCCTAGGCAAGTTACTTATCCAATTGTGCCTATATAATATTTGTGTCTTTACGTTTATTTAATAAATGCAAGTTATTTATTATTTTTGATCACAAAATGTCTAACAAAAAACGACCTAAAAAAAAACCATTGGACAAATGCCTCAAATCATATCACAGTTTTCTTTGTTTTGTAATATTTGAACTTATTGATTTTGTTTGTAGTTGGCTTTTTTCTTCATATGATCAAAGAACTTTTTTCTTGCTAAATATTTATGAGGCATTTTATAATTTGGTCGATAGATCTTATCAAGAAATTGTCGAAGTCTATAATGAAATTCATCTCGATTTTCATAATAAGAATCATTGAAAATATTTTTAATGAATAAAATTTCATGTGTAGGAATATTTTTAAGAGTTATAAATGCTGATTGAAATTTAGTATTTTGTTTATCATGAATAATTAATGTTGGAATCTTTATAAAACAAATAAATGATCAAATAAATATTTAAAATTATTCTCAACTTACTTCTATTTCTTCATAATTAGAAATATTAAATTGTTCTGTTCCAATTGGATCAATATAAACAAAACTTCGTATTAATTCTTGTTGTTTATTTAAATGAAACATATAAGGTAATGTTAATCGACCACTCATTAATGGACTAATAATAGATAAATTTGAAAGATGCAATGTTTCAATGACTTTTTTTAACCATTTAACTGCTGCCTTATTTCCATTTACAGGTAATGAATTATTTTCACTATATGGAATATCAATAGCAAAAACTTGATAACCCAAATTACTTAAATATTGAAATGTACCTAAAATTAATCATATTTATTTTGATATAATTTCAATATAATTTTTACCAATTTTTTCCCATATTTTAAAAGAACAGTTTTGACCATGAAGTAAAAGTATCTGTTTATTTCCTTTGCCTGCTTCACGAACAAGAATATTTGCATGCTAAATATAAACAAAAATATATATATATTTTTTTTTTATGTGTGTATTTCTGTCAATGTTCAACAATGAATAATACCGTTTCATTATTCAAAGATATTTTATATTTTCGAATAGATACTTTAGAAATATCTATTTTTTTAAGAGGTAATTTTGATGATTTTGTTTTTGATTTAGAATCAAACTTAGTAGCAATTGACTCAGCATGATCATGAACTGATTTATCCAATTGATTATGTTTTTCAATTAAATCAAGATCATTTTGACGTCGACCATATGAGATAGAGTTGAGGATAATAACACCAATACCAAAAGCAAATATACCAAAAAGTACGAATTTAATAATAGGTGATTTACTTAGCATTTTATTATTTTTCTTAAACAAAATAAAATATTTCAATTTTAATAAATGTTATTAATTTTAGACAATAAATAAATCAATGATTGTTAGTCATTTTTCGGCTATATCCAAATTTCGGCCAAAAATTAAGCCAATTAACACATAAGTAACCGCAATTCGGAATACAGAATTTTTTGTTGATTTCATTTTTTATGTGTTTCCAAATTGCGGCTACTTTTGATTAACTAGTTATAGAAAGAGTAGATGATGAGTTCTGTTGGATCTATCGGGTGTCCCAGGAATAATGAGCCTCCCAGTATTTTTAAGATTTCCTGTCTATTATCACTGTAAGTAAAGCTCTCATTATTATCAAAAGATAGCGCTTAAAATTCTCTACAAAA